ACAGCTACGTCCGAAGGGCAGCAGTTGAGGCGCTTGTGAGTCAAGAGGCGCTTCCGTTCGACAGTCTCAGCACCTACGTAAAGCCCCTATTTCTAGCTTTACTAAAGAAAAGCTTTACAGAACATGTGTACTGGTATGTTTCAGACAAGAGCTTTATTGGGGTTGGTTCTAGACATGTTGTAACCACGTGGGTGAAGTCACATGATATCTTGTTGTAGAAGGTACCGCCCAGTGGGCAAGTGCACTTACCTCAGAGCTGAGAGCTCAGTACACAATCATCACAACACGACAACAGATAGCAATACAATTGTTGATCCCAGCCTCCACCCAACACTGCACCAGGCAGTTACAGTTATGAGCCCGGCTGTCAACTACACACGCTGTATCCGCTACTTCATGCCGACGAGCTATTGACTGCTGTCAACAGAGCTACGTCATTAAACCGCTACCTTTGCCTTACCTTGTCAAGAGCCTCGAGCGCACTGTCCCGTACGAGAGTCGACATCTGAGAGCTGATAGAGCCTGATTCAGGATGGCTACTACTAAGCTAGATAGACTAATTACAAGGACAATAGTTATACTCAAGAAGCCTGTAGACTAGGAGGAATAGATCTTCCTACAAAAGGATAGCGCGGACAGGCATCAACTGTGGTCTATGGTTAACCCTAATCTTAATAAGGCGGCCCTTGAGAAGCTTAAGGAGCCAGCAGCCGTTAAGGCAGAGCAGTACCATGACGAGACTGAAGAGGACACTAGCGTTGTGCTCAAGGACATGACAACTGAGGAGTTCCAGCGATACTAGGAGGCGGAGCGGAACTACGATCGAGCACTAGCTAGATACACAATTAAGAGGAAAGCGTTAAATGACTTTACCTAGGAGATTAGCCAAACAATTAGCCACTGCTATATACACCTGATTTAGAGCGATGATACTGCGTACGCTTGCTTAAAGAGGTTAAAGAAGCACCTCTGCCTATTAACAGCTAAGAGGGAGCTATAGTTAATAACTAAGTATTAACAACTACAGAGTCGACTAAGGAACAACATTGGTAGTTGGCTTAAGGAGTGGCTGCACGTCGTGCGGATGTGTGAGGCAATCCATCTGCCTGATGTCACATCACCGCGAGCACAGCGCGACTTCCTGCTAGCCATCAAGGGCCTTGACGATACCTGGGCAACAACCCAGCAAGCTACATTGTTTCGAGCTTAGCTGAACGCTCAGCCGATCCCAACGTTAGACAATCTTGTGGCCGAGTTTTCTATGTACTGGCGCTCAACAAGGCCAGTGGCATCGTCGCTTAGTACATTTGCAACACTAGGCATTAATTAGAGCTCTAACAGACAATTAGACAGCGTAGAGATGCAGAGTAGCAACAAAGACAAAAGGCTTAAATGCAAGTGCAGCCTTAAGCACTGCTTTAAGGACTGTTAGTACCTTAGAGGGAAGGGCAAGCCTTAAGGCTGGACGCTAAAGCCTAATATCTAGGAAAAGTTTAGTTAAGCTATCAAGAGCTAGTCCCTAGTTGGACAAGCTATGCAGGCAGCTCTAAAGGCAAACACAGGCACAGCAGCTTTTAAAATAGCCTTAATTACACCGCGTTAATTTAATAACTGTAGTCTAACAATTGAAGACCTTGACAGCTATGTGCTACAGCTCACTATAAGCACAGACTGCACGAACAAGCAGGTAATCAAGCCAAGCCTAATTAATCAATAGATCCTGGACCTAGGATTGAACACGCATGTCACTAATACTAGAGCGTATGGCTGGAAGAAGCGAGCTGATAGGAAAGGTGAGGTTGTTAAAGCTGGCAACTAAGAGCTTCAGATACAAGAGTGGGGAGATGTGGTTCTACTCACTGACACGCCTACAGGCACAGAGCAGATAGAGCTCACCTACGTGGCTTATGTGCCAGGATTTCTTACCAACGTTGTTGGCTTATCTCGCTGTCGATCTGTTGGTATACACTTCGACTTAGGCTGAGATTGCCTGTACCAACGCAGATGGAACAACGTCATAAGCAAGCTTCAGTACATGGGCGGCCATTGGCTGATAGATGCAGACAGCATGGAGCGACCAGACGCCAGCTCCTTACTTGCAGCATCAGCTCATGCCCACAAGAAGCCCTCGTACGAGCCCAGGAAGCCACTACAGATTACGCCAGAGGAGGCTCACATCATGTGGGGTCACGCAGGCCGACAGGCGATCGATCGACTGCCGGATAGCGTAGACAGGCTGCAGCTGGTAGACGGCAACCCAGCACCAAAGTGGAAGGACTGTGAGATCTGTATACAGTCGAAATTGACGAAACTGGTCAGCCGGAGGCTACCGCGCGAGCCAGCTACCCGACCGTTCGAGCGCATCAGTATTGATCTAGTGCAGCTACTAGAGCGAGGCGAGCATTGCTATAACAGCAACCAATACCTATTCCACATGATTAACCAGGACACGAAGTGGCATGAAGGAAGCTGTATGCTAGACAAGACAAAATCTACTCTCACACAAGTCTTCAAGCAACTACTAGCTAAGATTAAGTAGTAGTTTGATTGCTAGGTTATTATTGTGAGGCTAGACATGGAGACTAGATATGTTAAGCTGCTTAAGATATGCAGAGACCTTAGAATTGCAATTAAGCTAAGAGTGACAGAAGCTTAGAATAGAGTGATTAAGCGCGCAGGGAAGGCAATTGTGATTTAAGGTAGAGCTATCTAACTACATGCTAGTCTACTAAAGGAGTACGCTAACAAGTGTGTTATATTAGTAATATACCTACTTAATTGTACGCTAGTTAAAGCAATTAGCTAGAGCTGCCTATACACTAAAGTTAAGGGGATTAAGCTATTAGTTGCTTACCTTGAGGTAATTAGAGTGAGAGCCTATGTGCTTAATGAAAAGCTGCCACGCAGAGCTAAGCTCGAATCTCAAGCTCTTATTGGCCACCTAGTAGGCTTTAACTCTACCAATATCTTCTAAGTATAGCTGCCATCTATTAGACAAGTAATACAAACCTAAGATATTGTCTTCATTTGAGGCAAGCTCTGTGACAGCAAAGGCTAGTACGCAGAGAAGAGCTACGTTCAAGAGGCGGCAGAAGTGCTCAATATTGAGGAGACGCTTAATTACAGCAATATATTGACAGAACAGCTGTTCTCTCATGAGAACAAGGACAACGCTGAGGGTATTGGAGATACGGTTCATGTTCAACTACCGCCGAATTATCAGCAGAGCCGTACTTAGCAGAAGAACACCACAGCGCTCATGACTCCAGAAGCGACACCAGATTCGCCCGAGCCGATCGAGCTCACAGGCGAGTCGCTCACTGATCAGGCGATGGATGATACTGGCTGGGGACGCGGATATGCTCTAGCTCGAGAAGGAGAAGAGCCAGACCGAACGTCCAACAACGCTGCACGACGAGGAGAGATTAGCAGCCAGGTATCAGAGCAGTTTATTATGAAGGGCAAGCGAATTCGCAAGCCAGCAACGTTTGGCACCTATCTAGCGATATTTGCAGCCTGTATCAACCCTACAGCAGCAGGAAAGCTACTCAGCGAAGCGCCGAAAACCCGACTCCATCGTGACTAGCTGCTAGCTGAGCCAAAGAGATGGAAGGACCTAGATTAGCATCTATTTAGAGCTAAATTCAAGAAGGCAAGCTGCAAAGAGATTAATTGCTTTATCTAGAGGAGCTGTTTTAGACAAGCAGTGAGAGCGTCTGATTTAATAGACGCTGAGATACTGCCATTAATGTGGGTATTCACGTACAAATTTGACGAGGATAGATATCTCTACAAGTTCAAGGCGAGACTGGTAGTGAGGGGAGACCTGCAGCAGGATTACGGCGATACGTACGCGGCAACACTAGCTGCGAAGATATTCCAATGTTTAATCGCCCTAGCAGCTGCTTTTAACCTTGAGCTGTACCAGTACAACATCCTGAACGCCTTTCTTAACGCAGAACTTGACTAACCTACCTACGTATAATGTCTAGAAGGATATAAGAGTAAGCTTAGCCAACTGCTTAAGCTTAAACAAGCTCTATACAGACTTCGAGATGCTCCGCGACTATAGTACAAGCACCTCACTGCTACGCTTAAGAAGCTAGGCCTTTAGCAGGTGCCAGGAGTGCCCTGTCTGTTTAGCAATGATTACTTAATTGTCTTCTTCTTTGTAGACGATATAGTTATAGCTATAGCTTCTAAGAACAAGGACACCTACCGCTAATTTAATCAACAGCTGCGAGCTGCATACAACATGCGATTTCTAGGAGAGCTGAAATAGTTCCTCAGCATACGCGTGATCCAAGATCGCAGCCAGAAGAAGATCTGGCTAATGCAAGACAGCTTTATTGAAAAGGTAGCAGCTAAATACAACATTGCTCAAGAGAGCACTAAATATCTAGCAGTACTGCTAGTAGATGGAAATATTAGCCTAAGCAAGGAGGAGCTAGACAAACAGCGCACAAAGCTATATCAGGAGTTAGTTAGATTACTAGCCTACATTACAATATACACTCAGCCTAATATTGCGTAAGCCTACTCTAAATTATCTTAATATCTACAGAATCTAGGTTAAAAGCATGTTAGCGCAGTGTACCACGTCTAGAAGTACTTAATTAGCTAGAAGCATTTGGCAATCAGTGCACATAGAGATCAGAGCAGTCGCACGATATACACAGGCTCAAGCCTGGGGGGTGCTGGAACAGAGCCACTATTCTATGGTGCCTCTGATGCAGCCTTTGCGGACGACCTGCTGACGCGGCGCAGCTCTCAGGGATATCTTTTCATGATGTACAGTATGCCTATTGACTGGAAGGCGACACTCCAACGTTCCGTCACGAAATCGACCACCGAGGCAGAGCTGCTAGCTCTGTCAACAGCAGCCAGCGAGCTGCAGGCATGGAATCGACTGTTCAAGCACATCAAGCTTGACCTAGAGATAGTGCTAACAATCTTCTGCAACAACCTGCAGACAGTAGGAGTTGTTACTAAGCATAAGGACAAGCTATTCACGCGTTTGCGTTATATAGACGTCTACTAATATTAGCTTAGGCAGGAGGTAGCAGCTAGACGTATATTAGTTTAGTAGAAGCTAACTAACCTTATACTAGCTAATAGACTTACTAAGATCCTTGTACGCTAGAAGCATGCTGAATTTATCTAACAGCTTAGATTAAAAGACATTAAGAACTACCTGTAACGGGCTAGGCCCGATGGTAGCGCCTCGGCGCTCGCCGGCCTCGGCCAACCTCCGAGAGGAGGTGCCTGCCCAGCTGTACCCCCAGTCAGGAGGTCCTAATCTTGACTAATTGTGTAACCTCTGCACAGAGGACATAAAAGTCTGCAGACCTCTACCTGCAGCCACTCCTTAACAAATCTATTTAATTTATACTTGCAAATAGCCCACAGAGGCCAGCTCCTTATATTTAGATTTGTTTATCCTCTTTATTCGTTTGTTTATTAAGCATCTGCAAGGAACTACTTATAATAAGCAAAAACGCTAACGCTGTTGTAGGGCGCCTTGTTAAATACAGAATTAAACTCTGCTTAAGTACTAACTCCTAATCAGATGTTCGCACAGAATTGCAACACCGCGCGAGCACTCTAGCACCTGCGGAATGGCTAGAGACTATTTACGAACACGCTCTGACTCTGTTGGCCACTCACTTGGCCTGGGCTGCCCTGCCCAAAGATACAGTCAGGTTGCCAGAGGTTAAACAGCTGACAACCAGACCTCTGAACCCTCCACAAACACCTTAGCAATCCTAACTAATAGTTAACATAATGAATAAATACATACAATAGGCTATCTAAGCAGGCATACAGGCGTATAAGGACAAGGAATAGTAGAGATTAGCAACAGCTAACATCTCTCCCGCCCTAATAACAGCTACTACTACAACCTAGTTAGGCTTCACGAAGCTTAAACTTCCTAATATAGGGAAGTTTAATAGTAACTACTAGCTCTATTAGATATTTAAGTCCTAGATAACAGACAAGCTTACTTCTATAGGAGAATATTAATTAATCCTAGGTGTAGCGTACATGTTTAACTAATTAGAAGGGTAAGCTACCTAGGTTAGTCTATCCTAGAAATCCTGCTACCTATTAGGATTAACTATAGAATTCTAGAGCTTCCTTAATAAATAATACTAAGACACCTAGTTTAAAGAAAGATCTTATTAGAAGCTGTAGATAATTATAATAAAGAAAAATAGACAAAGCCTTAAAGCCTTTAATACAGAGTTTGTCTAGCTAGCCTTTAATACTAGAGAAGAAGAAAATAAACAGAACCTTAAGACAAGGTATATGTCTACTATCTATAGTAACCTTTAGGACAAGATAGTATCTATAGAAGTCCTTAAAGAATAGGAACTTTAGACCCTTATAGCACAAGTCTTAAAAGTAGAGACTAACCTAAGGCAAGTTAAGACTTATACCTACAACTAGGCTGGCGGAATGGGTATACTCTAACGTCCTTCGTGGGTACCCCCCAAAACTTTGTCAATAATACATGGATTCTAGCAAAATGGGGCTGAAAAGAAAGAGAAAAACTACCTCTACATTTCTGTAGTAGAGGATTTTGTTATAACTATTAAACTGCACAAGCTAGAGGCTAGAAAAGGTTAAAAAAGGGGGGGTACCTAGCAAGCATACCTATTAATAGGTATACTTTGCTAGGTAGTGTTAATAACTTAGCTAATACTAGG